TGTCCCTAGTGAAAGATTGTTTTCGAAAGCTGGTCAAATAGCTACAAAAAATCGCAGCCGTTTAACTGGCAAAAGATTATCCAAACTTTTGTTTCTAGAATCAATTTGTGAAAATTAATTTTTTGTGTTACTCCACCCACATGACTATGAAATATGATTAATAATATTAATATTTGTAATAACTAATAATTATGAAATATATATACATAACAGTTTTTGACTTACATAACCTTAAAAAGTGAAAATAGCTTTGAATCTAAAAAAAAATTGTAGATACTCAGCTTAGGTATTTATTCAAGATTAAAATATTTTTTTTCAATCACAGGATGTGTTTTTATTTTTTAATGAGCTAAAATTCCTTCTTAGTTTTTCATATGTTAATATCTTTTTTAATTTAAAAAAATATATCGATATATCGTTTATATCGATATATTTACTTCGATAAATTTATAAATCGATATAGGGATTTCGATATATCGATAAAACCGATATATCGATATATTAAAATCATTTGCCATCCCTAATAGTAGCAAAAAAGTTCATATCCATCTCAGCAAAAAGATCTGAATTTCTTGAAATGAACAGAAAAGACATTAGAACAGTCGTTGGTTTGCTCTTTGGGCATTGCTTGGTGAAATATCACCTAAAAACAATAGGCAAATCCGCAAATCAGACCATGACCACTACAGATCTTGCAAACAAGTAAAAGAAACTACAGAACATTTAATCTGCAATCTCATTTCTGCAAAAGGCTAAAATACCTTGAAGGGGTACGGCTTACACCCCAAAAGGTGGACACTTCACCACCCAGGAAGCTGGCCTTTGGGAGAAGCCTACAAATCTTGGACACCAACTAGAAGCAGAGTCACGCACAAAATATCTAGAAAGGTAGCAGTGTTTGGGCAGCTGGAACAAGCTCTAACGACTCCCAAATGCAATTTACAATCTATAATGAATCGAATTATTTTAGAAAAAATTGGTAATAATACCGAAACACAGTTCCTGTAATTATTTGGATCATTTGAACTTTCATTTTTGGGCGTATTATTATTAGATTTTACAAGAAAAAAAAAATAATTCAAAAGTCAAGAATAGACCAAAATTTTAAAATGAAAATTGAAAAATAGACAGTAAATTTAAGGCAAAACGAGGAAAAATTATTAGACAAATCTAGACAATAATATAATAATATACAATAATATAAAGTTCTATTCCAGAATCTCGTATATTTACTCTATTTTTAAATTGAAATTAACAGGAATCTTTAAAGTGTTTCTATTGATTGTAATAAATTTCAAGTCGATGTGACCGTTTTGGGAGAAACATTCTGTAAAGATTCTGGAAAATCATATAGATTGATTTTGAGCTTTCCAAAAATAAGTACACAAAAATTTTCACCCAATGTCCGAAATATCTATCTTTATTCGCCATTCATGACATACAGTGTGTCCACTTAAGTTCGCAGCATATGGGAAACTTTTATTATCAATTTTACGAAAAAAAGTTATTCTTTATTAAAGTTTCTGCTTCTTGAAAAAATAATATTAAACTATTAAAACTTGAAATAGCATGTACAGGGTGCTGCAATTTGGAGTGTTTTAACAGGAAAAACACACTTCCAGACCAGATAGAGGAAAATTGACTTAGATGTCATGGGATCGATTTTCGAGAAACGTCGATTGTCAAAAACCGTATCGCGATATCTTCAATGGTACCATTAATACAGAGCGATTTTCGATTTTCCCCTATTATGAAAAATGGCTATAAGTATTTTATTCATCAATTTTTTTCATTTCTGTGAAAACATTATGGAGACACTTTTTTGAGCACAATCCAGTGGCGAACTCGGTTTTTTTCTATATCGCTCCGATTTTGAGATATCGACCAAATTCCGATATTTTCAAATGAAACATCCTTTATATTAATAGCTCATTGGATAGCTCTGTTTTTGCTGATTTCAATGATATAAAGTTCGATAGGTTTATCTCTAACAGTTTTCCAGAAAAAAAATTATATCTTTTTCAGTCATAAGAAACAATGTGTTAGAAAGAGACCTTTCTCACTTTCCTTACACATATAAAATCCTTTTCTAACACATTGGTCCTCACGACAAAAACAGATATAATTTTTTTTTCTCGAAAACTATTAGAGATAAACCTATCGAACTTTATATCATTGAAATCAGCAAAAACAGAGCTATCCAATGAGCTATTAATATATAGGGAGTTTCATTTGAAAATATCGATTTTGGTCGATATCTCGAAATCGGAGCAATATCGAAAAAAATCGAGTCCGCCACTGGATTGTGCTCAAAAAAGTGTCTCACAGAAATGAAAAAAATTTATAAATAAAAAACTTATAGCCATTTTTCATAATAGGGGAAAATCGAAAATCGCCCTGTATTAATGGTACCATTGAAGATATCGCGATACGGTTTTTGACAATCGACGTTTCTCGAAAATCGATCCCATGACATCTAAGTCAATTTTCCTCTATCTGGTCTGGAAGTGTGTTTTTCCTGTTAAAACACTCCAAATTGCAGCACCCTGTACAGGGTGGTCAAAAAATATAAAAATATACAGGGTGTTTCCTAAGTACGGTTCATAACTTCAGGATGTGATTCCTTACAATATTTTGAGAAAAAAAGTTCTCATAAACATGTGTCCGGAAATGCTTAATTTCTGAGTTACAGGGTGTTAAAGTTTTAGAAAAAATCGTTTTTTTAGCTCAGAAATCACTTTTCCAATTTTTTGTCAAAGTTAGCAGGTTTGTTTGTGATAACGAAAGGTATCTTCTGACTGCAATATGACTTGCTTAATCTGAAAAAAATATCAAAGGTTTAAAAAAATTGCGACATGCCATTTTTTTGCTACTTCTACCAAAAAATCCTGTATATTTTTCTATTTTCTGACCACCCTGTACATTTTGATAGTTTATACTATTTTTTCAAGAAGCAGAAACTTTTAAAAAGAATAATTTTTTTTCGTAAAATTGATATTAAAAAAGTTTCCCATATGCTGCGACTTAAGTGGACACACTGTATATCATATATCCTTATCCAATCTTTTTACAGAAATTTTCTGGCTATCATAACCATAACATCTAATACTAATACAATTTTTCCTGAATTGATCTTCTTTCCATTTAATCCATTTATTAGTTTCTTTTTTTCAATTTTTGTATATTCCGGACGATTGAATTTTTGTTTCCTTGAAAACTTCTTCAAATAAAGAAAACTTGAAAAACAAAGTAAATACAAGAGCCTGGAATAGAAAAACTATTGCCTATACTTGTTTAACAATTATTTTTCGTTTTCCTCAGTTTTCTTCCATAAAAATTTGAAATTTTCCTAAAGCCAATTTGGTTCTTTTCATCTTTTTTGGCTCTCTTTTCTTTTTACATTTTTTTCTGTCTTCTTGAGGTTTAAATTGTTGTTTATTAACTTTCTATTTTTGGGCTTCCTCTTCCTATTTTTTTATCTGTCTTTGAATTTTCTTATCTTTCATCGTTTTGCTAAGGGCGAAGATTATTAATAATGAATTTCAACACAATCGTTTAGTATTATTGATTTGTTACAGGCACAATCAGAAATTTTTGGTTTTTGCAATGGAAGACGGCACTATCAGGGTCAATAGAATCAAAAGCAACGATCACACTGACTTGTCGGATTATTTTACGGTAAATTAACAACAAAATAATACAAGTTTAAGTTAATTGCGTAAATATTTCACAGATATCAATGCATGACAATCAAAACGGCTTCGTTCCAACTCTATGCTTCAGCCACGATGAAAAGTATTTCTTCAGTTGCGGTCACGACGGCAACATCTTCTCTTACAAATTCCACCCGCCCGACGACTACAAACTTCCGGACCCAAATTATCGAGTTTTCTTGGAGGATCATGTTTGTACTTCAGTTACAGGCAAGAATATGGTCAAATATTTTAGATTAACAGTATAATAATTAAATGTGGTTGTAGATATTGAAACTGATCAAAAGTTGAGCTTGGAAGAAGTGAAAATCAAAGCGGAAGATGATAGGATTCAAAAGTTGGCCAACGAGCACAAAAACAAGATAAGGGAGATTTTGAAAAATCTTAAGGAAAGATACAAGAAATTGCTTGCGAAAAATCTTAAATTACTACCCAGTCAGGTGAGTACCTACTACCTACATTGTAAGAATGCTAAAAATGATCTCCAGCTTTGGAGCTTTATTTTATTTATGCAAGTCCTTTCCTAACAATACATAGAAACTCAAGCAAAATTCCTTTTAATATAGATAATCCCCCGGGAAGAACTAGAGCCCGATATGAGAGTGGCGGAATACGTGGACCAAATTTTCGTGGACAAAATCGAAATTGTAAAGCGAAAATTGGCTTACGACGTGGAAAAATCCCGAATACAAGTAACCAAATTACAAGAGTAATAATTTACAATAATTATTGATAACTTGTTTTCAAATACATATTGTTTTTAGCTACTTTACAAGTCCTTGCGATAGACACACGAATTTGGTCAACGGAATAAACGATCCCGATTGCGCCATAAGGACCGTAAGGCAAAGAGTGATGGCGGATAAATTTTACGATATGCTCGTCATTATTGATGATAAACTAAAGGAGGAACAAGGCAAAGGAAGGTAAAAATTTTGATTTTTTTTTTCTTTTAAAACAAATAAATTATGTTTTTATTAATAAAATGCTAACAGTGTTGTAAGGATGATTAAAAAGTAAGTAAAGTGAGGGACAAATTTATAATCAAGCAATACATATAAATACGTAAATATTTGAAAATTTAGGCCACCAGAACGACTCCATGCAGCAACAAGACCCATACTATCGAAAAAAGAACAAGCCGAATCGACAATAGAATTTTTCTTAATAAACCTCTCCCCTTCGATGATACAATTTCGTCTTGGAAGCAAACTGTCCCGTCTTTTAGAAAAGTACAGAAAAAGGAAAAGAAAATGGGATGCAAGAACAAGACAGGTAAAATCATTATTATCCAATACCTAATATATATTTATTTTCTAGTTAATTATTGATTAATCGTTACAATACAAAAAAAAAAAACAATATACCTTATTATTACATAAACATGTCGTCGTAGCCGGGAGGCGGCAATTCGTCGTTGTCCGGTCTACGAGGCATACGCGGATTCGGGTAGGTCTCGGGAGGCCGGAAAGGGTCGAATCGAGCTCCGGGAGGCAAAGAACCTGGTGCTATCCCGAAATTAGGGCCCGAAGGAAATGAGCCGCCTCTTCCTGGAGGTTGGAATAACATGCCGCCGCCTCCGGTAGGGCCACGGGGTGGTCCTATACGTAGCGGATCGACTCCAAAGGGGTTCAGGTCGGATTGACCGTAGCCAAATGGATTAACCTAGAAAAAAAAAAAGTTTTTAGTTCATATTTTTTGCGATGCTTTTAGAATTGTAAAATTCTAGAATTTTCAGTCAATTATTTTTTTATGATGGAATCTGTCCTATATTTTGTCCAATGATAAAATCGAGATCTGTGGATGTTTTCTTCCGTAAAGTGTAGTCAAATTCTATTTGCTGTAATGGTTTTTCCTCGTTTTAATCCATATCTTAATTCAATTTCAAAATCAAAACAAAGCAATATTTTGATTCCAATTTTAAATTCGATCATCTGTTTCATAACAAAAATAATTCATGTGTAAAAAAATATTTCGTGTTCCGGAATCATAATGACCCGTTTTCAAGTGGATGTACAGAACTACTCCGTTCGTACTAACTCTGTTCGGTTATTGAGCGCTATTGATCTCGGCGCAAGTTCTAGTGAACCCCGGGTCGTTCATTGGTTCGATGGTCTTTGAGATATTTTGTGCACTATCCTTGCTTTCGGTTTTTTGACTTTTGATTGTCAAAAAATTTCTGTCAACCGGCGGTCGATTAGTAATGTTTTTAGTATCGTCGATTCTTCTTTGAGCCCTCTAATTTTGCAAACGGATCACTTACTCTAGTTTGTATTCTTCAAGTTTTGATTGTTTTATGGAATAATTATTTGTTGTTAATATCATTCTTCATTAGCCGTTGTCATTTTTCTCGGATTATATTGTTGTGTGCAATTTTTGGTAAGTGAAAATTCTATCGATTGATTTTTGACGTTTATCGTTATTCTGTATCATCTCTGAATCTATCTTTAGGCTAGCTCGTTGATCTAATGTGCAGCACTTTTCCTTTCACGTTGACTGTTTGAAGAAGCAGGTCCTTCAGGAAGAATTAATTTTTGTCTTCACCTTAAAAAGGGATTTTGGGCCTGATTTTCTTCTGAATTGAATTTATGGCACACTGAGTTACCTTGCGTTGTGTTTTACTTTCGTAAAGTGCCATAATTTTCGCCGATGTTATCGGATTTAAAAAAAACAGTCATTTGTGGTAAGTTGCTTACACGTTTTTTCCCATAGAAGATTCTGACTTTTTCCATTCAATTATTAGTTGAAAGCTGCCCTAAAGAGTAGAGAATAATCTCACTCACTCCAGGATATTCAATCCAATCCTCGATCCAGATTTCCGGAGATTTTCGAGGCAAACAAACCCTATTTCCAACAGGTAAAAATTTTTGCAAACTCGAGGCACATTTTTCTTAATTAATATGAAAAGCTTTATTATGATTTCATCTAATTTAATTAATTAATACCTTAATGTTCAATTTTTCTATTAAAATAATTTTCAAGAGCTATAGTCTTTTATCAAGTAAATTTGCTATTGGAAACTAATTGAATTACATTATAGTTTCATTTTTTTTTAATTCAATTTATTCATGAAGTGCTTCGCTATTGGTTCAATTACAAATACAGTGTGTATAACAATTTTTCTCTTAGGGTTTTTTTACGAGGGGTGTTATTTTACCATCAAGTTTTCCCTCACGGTTACAACAATAGACGTTCAATTGTAACCGAAACTGAACTAAAAGGCTAACAAACACCAGCCTAAGTAATTGGACGGTTACTCAAGTCTTCAATCTACTTAACCACAACCAGTAGCCAGGAATAATCTGGTTAATTGTCGGCCATTTGCACCGCTATAACTTAAGTGATATTTAATCCAAGTGGAGCTTTGAATGTGACTCTCGTAGAAACAAAAGTCACATTCAAAAACCCCACTCAAATTAAATGTCCCTTAATATCCCTTAAGTGATAGCGGTGCAAATGGCCATGTATCTACTACTACTACCTGGAACATTTCGGTATCGTACTAGTTTTAGTTAACTCATATATTATTATTGTTTATTTACATCCCGTCCCTATTTGTACACCACTGTGATCACTTTCGGTTTTTTTCAGGGAGTAATTCATTGCTCGCCCCAGTGTGGCAAATGAATTATTAAATAGGTAACTTAACTAGACATAACCTGATTAATTAATGTCAACTTACTGGTAGTTCTGGTTACGTAAGTGTAAGATAACCGTTCCGAGAACTAATTCTGCGTTATTGGTTTTTTTCCTCTTATTTTCTTGGTCTCTATTGGTCGTTGTCCACTACGAAACTGCACCTTTCTCAATTTATTAACTTTTTCAAGTTTGCTTTTTGCATCATATTCTGGTATAGTGAATTTCTTTAAAATTTTGAATATATTTTGTGCTATTTCTGTGCTACTATCCATTAGAGATAAATGATGGATGGGCAGGGTTGCCTCTGGATAATCTTTCCATGTGCTTTCCATTTTCTGTTTTCTCTTTGCAATGCAAAAAAGGAAGTAGTTTCGCACTGCGTAAAAGCATAAAAGCCATGCAATGCTAAAGATTTTTCAGGTCCCAATAAATGATCTGCAATGTTATGAGCTGCAATATACCTTTGTGATTTGTTAACCCCATACACAAGCTACCATAATTCCTCAAGGGTCAAAGACTTAACATGAAGAAACATTCTTCCATCTGCTTCCTCCATGTCGGCACAGGATAGTTCATCCAGACTGGTTTTGACATTATGTTAAACATTTGGTTCAAAATGCAGCTAAATCCGTTCCAGTACGATTCTCGGACACAGATGTAATAATAGAAATACAATTTTTTTATATATTGAACTCCTTAGGCCTTGAGGAAATATGGTATCTATATGGGGTTAGCAAATCACAAAGATAAATTGCAGCTCATAACGTTGCAAATCATTTGGGAAAAATCGTAAGCACTGCGTTGCTTTTACGGGGTGCGACATTACTTCCTTTTTTGCATTGAAAGGAAAAAACAGAGCATGGAAAGCATGGGAAGATTATCCGAAGGCAACCCTGGCCTTCCATTGTTTATCTTCAATACATAGTACCACAGATATACCACAAAATATATTCAAAATTTTAAGGGAATTTATTATTACAGTATACGATGCAAGAAGCAAACTTGAAAAAGTTAATGAATTGAGAAAGGTGCAGTTTTGTAGGATAGAACGACCATTAACAAACAACCGCTGGGAGCCAGCTACCACAAATTTGGTGAGCTTTAAGAGGATTAGAGAAGTGTGGCTGTAAAGGTCAATGTGAAACTAACCTAACAGATGTTCGTATAGGAAAGCTATAGTACATCCGCATATACTAACTGCAAGGACGAATGTCAAAACCTGAAAAATAAGTTTTATAACCTAACCTTCATACGATACTTTGGAACATTTCTGTGAAAAATAAGGTAATGACATTGCTTCATGTACCTTACCACTACCGCACCAGCCACCACTGATCTGTTGAAAAAGTTAATAAATTGAGAAAGGTGCAGTTTCGTAATGGTGAACGACCAATATCCATGTGTCCACCGTTACAATACAGTCTAATGGAAGACTACAGAAGAGTTGCGTATCAAGCCGCTCAAATATAGGGTCGATCGCTGTCACTCGGTGAATCTGTTCCATCACCTGGAGGATGGGGTTTGAATTTAACCAACAACCGCTAGGAGCTAACTAGCACAAATTTGGTGAGCTCTAAGAGTACTAGAGAAGTGTGGATGTGAAAGTCAAAGTTAGACCAACAGTCGTGTCAGAAAGCAGGTCTACCTTGTACACCCGCATGTACTAATTGCAATGGCGTATGTCAAAACCAACGATCCCTATAGTTTGAAGTATCTGTTAAAGCAGCGGCTGGTGAGGTGGTGCCACAGTGCCACGGAGCCATGGCGATACCTTATTTTTCATGTGATACTTTGAAACATTTCTGTGAAAAATAAGGTAATGACATGGCTTCATGTTAGTACTACCGCATCAGCCAGTGCTGATCTATTGATCTTTGATAAGACATTTAAATTTTTATGTTATGCTAAACAATCATTTTTGATTTTTAACCCCTTTCTATTAGCGGTTTCAAACATGTTATATTAAAATTATTTTAAAATTGAATTAAACTGTAATTTTCAAGGTTACTGAAGGTCATATCGTTTCGAAAATATTTTTTTTGAATTCCTTGACCTCAAATTATATAATAAAGTGTATAATCATGCCCAAGTAAATTAATTTTGAAATTGAGGAAATTCCCGTCCGCCATTTTGAAAAAAATTTGAAATTGGGAGTCTTGATGGTCGTAGAGCCTGGCTAGTCGGGTCAGATTTCTTAAAATGTGTTTCCTGACAATTATGCCAAATTTCATGCTTGTAACCCAATTTGGCGTTTTCTTCCAAAATTTCGTACGAGGGAACTCCACTACATCGTTTCATTGTGGACTGCGGCCATTTGATAAATAAACAACTGTAGCACTTGATTTCTTGACTTTTATTTGGTTTTATACACACAGCCTGGTTTTTGCTAATATTTTTCTTTTTATTAATTATTATTTGAATTGTAAGGACCTGAAGCCAGATACCATCCTGGAGAGTCCGACTCATCTGTTCAGAGTCGGTGGCGCCCAAAACTAAAAATCCACCCCTACTCTCCGAATTATTTAGTTCTGAGCTAGGGCATAATTTGCACGCACTTTGACCTTCAGTCCTACAATCTCAAGTTCTTCATTCATTTATTTTTATTTTATTTTTTTTATTTTATTTAATTCTTTTTATTTTCAACTTTTATTTTTTTATTATTTTTTTTTATTAAACTTTTTAATCAGCGAAAAAGCGTGGCAAGTCAGTGTCAGCAAGTCACCCAACTTTAGAGGACTTGACATAAGGTTATTGTTAGAGCACAGAGGAGGAACGAAATAGATCAGTAGAAAATAAAACAGCACTGGCAGCAAAACAGAACAAATGAAAGAGTATATTGAATGCCATATTTGCCAAAAATCAGGACATTTTTTTTTTATAAATAAAAAGCAAGATGAAGGGGAAAATTCAAATGAAACAAAACAATGCAATTTTTGTAAGAAGAAAAGACACCCTATACGATTTTGTTGGTTCAAGAAAAATAAAGAGCAAGGTAACAATGACAAAAATCCACACACAAGGGAACG